AAAAAAAAAAAACGAAACCTAAGATGCCTCACTTGAGTGCTGTAAGTATATAAGAAAGTTCAAGAAGTTGGTCCAGTATTGGACGACTTGCCAATTCGTGATATTTGCAGAGCTATCTCAAGAGAGTATGATTTGATATTAAGGAGGATTTTAAAAAATAATCCAGCTATGAAATCTGCTCCATAAAAATTGGCTCGAAGATGCATACTTGGCACTCTGGCCGCAATAAAAATTCGTCTGAAGGATTTCCAGATCCAGTTTCCACTTGCACTTGCTGACCCTAAACCAAAAAAAAAACAACTTCAAGATTGTGCGGATGATGATTGGAGCTAAGTAATTGGTTTTCTCTACCTACTTTCTATAGCGTAGTCCATGGCCTTGAGGACTGCAAACACCTCTGTCTGAAATACTGAGGCATGATCCCTATGAGAGAAATGACGATTGTCCGCGTTACTTATTTTTCAAGCCACCCACTGGTCAATCTGGTATTACACGCTACCACATGTAGCAGGACATTGCGAAAACCAATTGCGTTTCTTCACACATGTGTGCAAATTTCAAATATGTAAATTGAACATTTGTTGTTGTTGTTGTTGTTTTTACTGTCAAATTGGGCGCACTCGACTTAAACACAATTGCAAATTGCATTTAATAATTGTTTGCAGTACTGGAGGAGATTGAGTACGCCTGGAAAGTGTAGATGAGGGATGGCGCTATGTAATCCTTGGTTGCTAGAGGTAGGCTGCAAATCTACCAAAGGGTTATTACTTGACGACAGTCAACTGGATACATATAAACACCTGCTGTGATGACGATGACAGCGGTTGAGGTTTACATATCCACATACACACGCACATACATACACTTTGGTTAAGGGCGTTAAATGCGCATTTTCTTCGTAGTCGAAGCTTAGCATTGTTGGGGTTAATGTAGGGTTGTTGACGAAGAAAAGCAGAGGAGCAGCTGACTTCCGATTGGATTCTATTGTTTTGCCTGCTGCTCCAACTGCTACCGCTAACCTCATCAAGGCGTGAAAAGAGGGTTGATTGCTATTGGCAGCAAAGTGGCCAAGCAAATGTGAACACTTTATATACATACGGACATATATTTACATATGTATGTACATTAGACTGTACCATCTTACAAGCAAACCAAAAAAAAAAACTAGCCGTACACCCCTGAGTCTAAAATATTATTGCAAGGCGATTTCGAAAAAAACTTTTTTGGCCGAGCCTAGGGGTCGCCATTTTAAATTCTTCGCTGACAGCAACGTTGGGCAATAAATTGTTATTATTTTTTAAATAGTTCTACTAGAATAACCAAAATACTTCCTTAACAAAAGTTTAATGATTTTTGGAGGGCTCTAAATTATTGACGTTAGGATGGTACGTTAGGGTGCCAGGCACTCAAATTTGGTTGGTATGTACTAGAACCAGGTACTTGAGGCCAATGAACTTTAGCGCAACAAAATTATCTCCTCAAGACAAAAATATCGATATATTTATCATGCTTTATGCTCCGACTGTAAATGCCGAAGATATGACGAAAAATGACAAAGGCCGACCGACCGCTACGCTTGCCAAAAAAAATTTAATTTCATCTGGGAGCGAAATTTTTCGTTAGAAAAAGTTTAATAATTTTTGGAAAGCTTTGATTCACTGACATTAGGGTGGTTCCTTGAGGTGGTAGAAACTGAAGATCGGCTGTGTAAGTACTAGAACGGGGTACTTGAGGTCAATGAGCTTTAGAACAGAAACAATTTTAAAAGCAGCGACCTATCATGCCTTAAGATTCGACTGTAAACGCCGCAGACATGACAAAATAGACCCCTTGTTAGGAAAAAAACACTTTCTTACGAAATCGCCTTGCAACGTACTTAAGAATTGTGGGTGTATCTACAATTGCGTTGTCAAAAAAAAAAAAGGTTAAAGTGTATAGAAAGCTCTCACCCTCTAGAATTTTTCGAAATGGAAAAACAGAATATTTACACGGGGTTTTTTTTTTTAAATATGAAGTTCTCCATGTATTTTATATGGAGAAAAAAAACTTTTTCGTAGAAATGGTATAGAATTTCTGAAAATCAATATTTTTCGATCCGAAAGCTTCACTTCTCTTTAGTAGACTTCCAGTAACTATATCAAATTATTTACTTAACCGTTTTGTAATTATAACTATTTTTTATTGAATTTTTTTTTATGATTTTCTGGAGACCTATAAAAATAGTATCTATTTATTAAATAATGGTTAAATAAACATTTGGATTTTGTGACAGAGAGAGAGAGAAAGTGTTGTTTCGCCATATAAAATACATCGAAAACTTCATGGCCTTTGAGGTAGTTTTAACTATAATTTTTTTAACAAAAAAAAAATACGGATATTATTTTTTTCCATTTCGAAAAATCCTATGGGATGAGAGCTTCACATTTTAAACATTTTTCCTCCCACGTGTATTTTTGGGCCACCCTAGTGTACTACAAACTTTTTTATGGTACGGTCTAATGTTCATAAATATTACTTTTGTATGCACATAAATATCTATATTGTTGGTAGTGTGGGCCTATCAGCTGGCTTGTTTGCTGGTTAATGCTTGTGTTCATAGAATTAGACACGGCAATTATTTTTGCAATACAGCTAATTTGGCACTGATTCCAAGAGAATTTCGTATCTTGAAATATGCATACATATGTATTTGAACTTCTTTTATGACACTTAACGTTTAAGAAATGCACTAATTTTTTATAAATTGTTTCCTTATTTCTATTTTAAGGTTTGGTTTCAAAATCGTCGTGCTAAGTGGCGCAAACGCGAGAAATTTATGAATCAGGACAAAAACGGATATCTGCTGCCCGATCAAGGTTGGTAGATTTCCTTTCTTTATATTATTTAAGACAGATTTATTTTCTTTATCTGAACCTCTTAATCTGTTATTATTTTTTAACTAACTACTTCACGCTTCTCATTTCACTTTTGTTCATGCCATTATTTATAACAAACTGCCCACGCGACTTGATTTATGCCCAAATTGACGTTAATGTAATTTTAATTACCTTTGTTTAAGTTTTTTGCTCGACAAAGAATCACGTTTTCCGATACGCATTATTTTATTTATTAACAAATTATGCACTACCGTCTTGCTGTTTACTATATTCAAAATTTACTATGTATTTACTAATTTTCATTAACATCGCATGCAATGCAAAAAAAAAACGCGTTTGACATTCCTCCATACCTCCACCACTAATGAATTCAATTTCAATTCCGTTTCCCTTACAGGCTTGCCCGATTTTCCGCTTGGTATTCCCCTTCCACATGGCATCCCCGGCCCCCCAGCCACATTGCCACCTGAGTTTTGGCCACCACATTTTGCCTTACATCAGCACTTCAATCCCGCTCTGTTGCCACCCAGCCTTATGCCGCACTACAAATTGCCCAATTTCCATACGCTGCTCTCACAATACATGGGTTTGAGTAATTTGAATGGCATCTTCGCTGCTGGCTACCCGCAAAATCTATCCTTACACTCTGCCGCACAAGTTAGTCCGCCGTGCAGTAATAGTCCGCGTGACAGTCCACCTACTCAACAACAATCTGCAGCGGCGCTCGCGTGTCTGGTGCCCACATCAATGGTGGCGGGTGGTGGTGTGACGTTGACTTCATCGGCCGCAGCCTCGCCCAAGAGTCCCATGGCGCCGAGTGTGGCGAGCAGCGCTTCAACGCCTGTATCGGTGGTGACCAAAACTGAGGAATGAACATAACTGCGACGAAGTTCTTGTGCGGTGACAGTTGAAGGCTGAGTGCAAATCTTTTGCTGGGCGAATAGGCGTTGTACATACATACATACATACATAAATCGGTCATACGTGCCGTATAAGTATTTAAATTGCTAACTAATTTAATTTGTAAATATATTCAATAAATAATTTAAATGCCGCATATAGTGCTAAGGGTTTGTAAGTTTTAAAGACAGAATAAAAAGTGATAAAGACTTGCTTGTTTAAGGAAGAAATGTACATTTGTATTTTAATGAGCATTTAAAGAAATGAAAGTATGCAAATAATTCATGCAACATACATTTATATGTACGTACATATATGCGTAGATCAGATACGTGATTTAATTACTTAACCGATTGATTGCCAAACACGAAAAGAATGAACATCAATGAAGTAGTGATAAATTATAAGAATTATGAATAGACTAAAGTTATTGTAAATAAGTACATAAACAAATATAGAAAAAATATGCGTACGTAGAGTACATAATAAAGTCAAAATTTAAAGTTTACACAACAAAGGTTTTGGTTTTTTTATTTTACGGCATCACGGGGTGGTGGCCCTCCGTAGATAGATCTACAAGAAAAGGCAAATTAACTAAGGTTCAAGGATGGCGCACATGATGATCACGGGGACGCACAGTGTTGCGACTATATGGAGGCAGATAGAAAAAAGTCATGGTGACAGTTGATGAAAAAAACCGGTTGGACTTAGAGAGGGAAAAGCAAAAGTCACAAATACCACATTTCACATTATTTACTCACCCCCCTTCTTCACGAACGATACATTTCCAAAGAAATACGGGAATCGGCGCGAAACCGAGTAATCAGTTAAGCTGTTTTTAGCGATTAACCCATTAAACAAAATGTTTCTTTTTCAACTGTAATCAATTATTTTAACATCGTGGAATATTCAGGTGAAGGTATGTTTCATTTATTTGGTACTTTCCTATTTTCTTACCAAAAAATTTACTTTGAAATTTAGATGCTAAAGATTATTAGTAAAAAAAGTGTGAGTACCGGACCGTCAGGTCTTGAAATTAGACAAATGTTTTAGAGAATTTTATGTAGTTTTAGAATAAATAATTTGATCTTTGCGCGCGACTGCGCAAATGTATGTAATTTTTGATTTTCTGCCACTTTTTGCATAATTTTGCGAAAAGAATCTTTCGAACAATGAAAAAATCTCACCAGACATTGGGAAAAAGCGAGTATTTACACCTAAGTCATTTTATTGGGCCTCATGCATAAAAAGTGAGCTTAAGCTCCGACTCGATTTTCAGTACAAATTCTTGAGCTTGAGCTCACCCCTTCAGTGCAAAAATTGAGTCTGAGTTTAAGCTCACTTTTTATGCATAAGGCCCATTATATAACCTTTATTTTCTGGGAGTGAAAAGCAGGGGAAAAAATTAACCAAAATTTCATCACATTTAACGACTGGGCCCACATTTATTGTGAGTTTTTGACGTTATTGTGATCCAATCTTCCCCATATTTTATATTTAGGTTTTTCTAATAAAAGAGAGAGCACAAACTAAATTTCATCGCAATCGGATGAAATTTAATTTTTCCGCCCCAAAGAGTAGAAGGCGTGGCAATTATTCCATCTTTACCAAATTTCATAATTCACTATTTCTAAGTAAAAATGGAGCACATGTCAAGTTTCAGTGAAATAACTATTATTTCCACCTGCCTCCATATAGTCGAAACACTGTGGGACTTTACCCTCAGCGTCGACTAAAGCCCTAGAGACCTTACTTCACTTTCTACCTGTGGATGGAAAACTACAGGAAAGCTGTAATGCTATTAGACTAAACGCACTGTCTAAGTGGAGTGACACAAGATTCGGACACTCTATAATTCTGTAAGATCTTCCAGCGGTCTTTAGGCGCCTGGAAAACACAGTCCCTCCCACTGGATTGATGAATCATTTCTAAACAAGGATTTCCTCAAAGGGTGAATGGGAACAGGATTCAGCCCTGTTCTCTTAATCCGACTCAGCAGTCATCTGAACTGGCGGATCCTAGTTTAATTTGAAGGAAGGAAATGGAGTATACTCGCAAGATCTCTCACTTAGCCTCATTTTTCGTCTTCGTTTCGTCCCGGTCTTTGCAGCGTTTTCCAAGCTGAACTTAGGGCAATCAATGAACCTGCAAGATGGCTGATCGATTCTTCCATTAATTCGTATGCAGTAGCTATCTTTTCTGATAGCCAGGCAGCAGTCAAAGCATTTAATTGTGACAAATCGTCGTTGAGTATTGTCATGGTTGACGTGGTTCAAAGTTATGCGGTAACATGCATAGAAAATAAAAAATAAATAAAAAATAAAAATATTCCGACGAACTGATAACCTCCTCCATTTTTGGAAGTCGGTTAAAACCCTCGATCGATTCGGAAAAAGTTCGGGAACAACATATGTCTTTTATATTAAAAAACCATCGATAATTTCAGTCGAACGCCAAGGACTTTTCCAACTGCAATTAAACTCAACCAGTTTGGATAGTAAAAGCACCACTTAGTAGCGGACGGAATTGCTGATTGATTATTGGGTTACAAATGGCATTTCGGCATCGGCAGAATCATTTGACCAGGGATTCCCGCGGCATCCCGAACAAATAATCTAACATTTCCGCCCAGAGAAAGCGTTCATTTACTTCATTGATTTCAGTTCTTGTAGCATAAGGGTTGTTGTAGACATTTCATTTCATAAATGTTTGCGAAAATCGATGAGTCGGGCGTTGTCTGGTCATTTGAGTTTGATTTGAGTCAAAGCGACAGCCATCTTCTTTTGCACGTTGATTTTCTTGTGACCATCGCAAACAACTATCGAGTTCGTTCCATGATTCCTGATGATATAATCTTCATGCAGTTTAAGGATCTGCTGATAGGTACTTCCGAGAGGCCAGACAACTTTGTGGAACAAGAATCACCCGTCGATGAGAATTTTAAATTCAGCCAAATTGATGGCATTCATCGGTGGACATGTGAAGGCGTTGTAAAGGTCTAGCTTCTTCGATTTCATCATGAGATCCTGATCGTCGAATGACGCGAAGTGGAAGAGGGCTAATTCATGATGTAATGCTAGGGTGTCTAAATCACTGTCGTTCTTCGTAATTGCTGTGAAATGCTGGAATATTTATTAGGGTAGTATCGACCGTTAAAAGCTCGTTGTCAATCACAATTCCACGTTTATTTGTAGAAATAGATTTATCACGTGTCCAGCGTTTTTTCTTTACGTTTGCAGCATTGGTTCCAAGCATCAAAGTCATTCCAATGTCAATCACCTTATCACAACCGCGTTGAACTCCAGCACTGAAGTCGTCGCCAATGGACATCAGTTTGCCAGTATCAACAGCTGTAGAGTAAGCCACTTCACCAACTTGATGTAATCTTAGGTATCCTTGATTATATTCCAGAGAATGTTTCAAATCCTTCCATGACTTCATAGGCAATCGGAAATCTAAGTATTCGCCTCGCGATGGCTCCTTCTTTGTTCATTCTATGGCCATGAGCCCCCTGAAATTTTCATATTTCTCCAGATGCCAGCCCACTTCTTAACAGATCGTCGGATAGTAAAATTACCTTCGATTGGGAATTTGTGTTATTCTTCAGAACTTATCTCTTTGCGCAACTCAGGTATGTCCTGCAAGTAGATGTATTTGAGCACATTTGGCATAGGCCAAATGACCAGCAGCAGGAAAGAAAGGCAGCATGTCTTGTACACATTGGAGATGGAGTTGCCAGTTTCCCAGACAATCTGCTTCAATGATCTACAATATTAATGTGATAACATCGAAAAATTGCAGCCACAACCTTAATGTGCGCCCAACGTCTGCAAGATCATCGATAGCTACGGTGACCATAAATATATTTTGAAAATGCAGGACAATTTTTCAAAAAATTTACCTACATATAATTGCGTAGTATAAAAATAACAAAAATATACTACATATCAGGGTTTTTGCGAATATTCGCATTTGCATTCCCAACTGCGGAACTTCCGCATTAATTTTCACATTCGCATTCGCTTTCGCATTCGCAATAATCAATGCGGAGCATTTGCGAATACGAATGTTGTGCAAGTGCACCGATAAAACGTATATATGGCAAACAAAATTTTTCTTAAGCTATATAACCGCGTTATCAATGGGCAGTCATACAAGTTCCACTTGACCTTTGACGTACGTCGAAGGGAACACAGTATTTTTAACAATTTTTTTTTCTGTGCTTTAAATACCTGCATTGGTTTCTTTTTTTATTATGATTTTTTTGGACCAACCTAAAAAAAACTACTAGACACAAAAGAAGAGAGTGTGCACTGTTCATAGTGATATACATTGAATCCTTGGAAAAACTTTTGTGGTAAAACTGACCCTTCTTTGCTATTTAAAGTCAAAGAGTAAGCTCCTTCAATNATCATTTAAAGTACAAAACCGCGTATGTGAGGCTGCATAAATTATTTTGAAGATTTATTTTATTTTAGAATTTATTTATTACAAAACTAGCAAATACCCGGCGAACTCACTGCGCCTTAAAAGTATATATCTTAGTGTTGCTTGATACCCGTATTGTAATATTTCATTTCTTTGACAAATTTAATTAAATAAAATTTTTTAAATAGGTGGCAACCCTTCTCAAAAATATTTTCGGCAGTCAACTTTTCTAAACTTCATGAGTTTGCAATATTTAATTTATCTTATCAATTGAATTAAATTAAAGTTTTCAAACATGTTGCAACCTCCACAAAAATATTTTCTTAAATCTCTTTCTTTAGATAGCCATATTGCAAAATTTACTTAAACTGCAATTTTCAAACAGGTGGCAACTCTCTAATNCTCCAAAAAAATATTTCTCCAACCTTGGAAAAATTCATAGTTCTCAAGTTGATATCCAACATCATTCTCCAACTCATCTCTAACCGACGCGCAGATACGTAAAAAGTGATAAAGAAACGAATTTTTAATTATCAAGTGAAAAA